TCTCTCTCTCTCTCTCTCTCTCTCTCTCTCTCTCTCTCTCTCTCTCTCTCTCTTCTGTCTCTCTTTCTTTCTCTCTGTCTCTCTCTTTCTCTCTGTCTCTCTCTGTCTTTGTCTCTCTCTCCCCCTCCCACACATGCATTTTGTTTACCTGTTCACTTTTAGCTATTGTGAATGTTCCTGCCATGGCTAAGGGTATGCAAACGTGTATGTGAGACGGTTTTGAATAGAGCTGTGATTTGAATGTGGCTTGTTCCCCACAGTTGGATGTCATGACTCAGAAACCTTGTTCCCAGTATGGTAACGTCATGAGGCAGAACCTTTAAGAATGAGGCCTTACTGGAGGCTTGTCACGTCACTGGGGTCTGCCCTTGGGAGGGTTAATGTAGTTCTCCTGGAACTCTAACTGCTCTCTGGCTTACTGTCTTGACATGTGACCCCCATCACCCCCCCCCCACACACACACACACACATACACACACCTTTTCCTGTCCTGTATTAACCTCCTAGGGCTTATCATAACAAAAACAGGTTGAGCATTCCTTATGCAAAGTGTTTGGATAAGAAATCTTCCATTTTTTAAAAAAAGATGTATGTACGTACATATGTATGTATGTTTTGTCTGCACGTATATCTGTACACCAGCAGAGGGCATCAGACCCCATGGAACTATAGTTATAGACAATTGTGAGCCCCCGTGTGGGTGCTGGGAATTGAACTCAGGACCACTGGAAGAGCAGCCAGTGCTCTTAACCACTGAGCCATCTCTCCAGCTCAAAGGAATCTTTCAGTTAAAAATAGCTTTTTTTGAAACAATGGCACAGATTTTATTGGTTGAGCATCAGATAGAGAACCAGAAATCTGAAGTGCTACAGAATCGGGGCCTTTTGAGGCCCTGTGCGTAGGCTCAAAACCACAGCCGCGTCGTGAGGGAAGCTCTAGGGAAGGACTCTTCCCTGCCTCCCCCTGGCTCTGAACGGCTGTCCACGCTCCTTGGTCTATGGCTGTGTCACTCACTATCGGCCTCTGTCCTTATCCCTCTGTGTCTCTCTTGTCTCTCTCCTTAAAGCATTCCAGTCACTGGGTTCAGGATTGTTCTAATCCAACATGACTTGTCCGGAATGATCGCATTTGCAAAGCCCTATTTCCTAAAAGGGCAACAGTTACAGTCCCGGGGCTGAACAAAGAGTGTATCATTTGGGGGAACAAAATTCTACCTGTTACAATTACACACACCGATCCCACGTGGCTCTACCTGAGGGTCATTGGGTTCTTGAGGTTTTTTGGAAGGGCAGGACCAGGTGAGGACTATAGAGAAGAAGCTCAGCCCCCAAGCCTTTAGGCCTGGCTTTACAACCCTGAGTTCAATCCTGTCTTCTCATCACTCCTGCCCGTGGGCATTGGGCCCTCTGGACAGACCTGCAAAATAAGGCATACAGTGTCTCCGGCATTACCCCTCGGCTCATGCAACTACAGACCATGGAGATGCAGGCTGGCACTGAGGTCTCGGCCAGGGATTCTGAGCTTTGGGTCTGAGACAAAGTGTCAAGGGGCAGCCAGTGTGAGTCGCAGCTCAGAGGCCAGAGTGCACCCGCTCGGACATCCGGGTTCTGGTGTCCCAGATCACAGAATTAGACACGTGGATGTAATCGAAGGCTTTTCTCTGTCCCACCCCGGCCTGCTTCCAGATAATCACGGAGGCTTATATTAATTATAAATGCTCAGCTGGTAGCTCAGGCTTATTACTAACTAGTTCTTACACTTATATTAACTGACAATTCTTTTCTATGTTTAGCCACGTGGCTTGGTACCTTTTCTCAGTATGGCATTCTCATCTTGCTTCCTCTGTTTCTGACTGGTGACCTCTGACCCCGCCCTTCCTCTTCCCAGCATTCTTAGTTTGGTCATCCCGCCTATGCTTCCTGCCTGGCTGTAGAGGGAAGTTTCTCTGGTCTTGCCCAGGTCCGAGGTCTGGATGAATCTCTCCCACCCGAGGTCCCTGCAGCCACTTATAAAATACTTATGCAGAGGCCCAGGCCCCAGGGGCAGGTACTTCAAGGCCATAAGTATATAGAACAGGTATCCACTACCCCTGGCTACTGGCCAATCAGTTTTATTAAACCAATTTGAGTGATAAATCTTTATAGTGTACAAGAGGATTAGTCCACAGCTTGTTGATAATGGTAGAACTGTTCATATCTACTGAAGAGGGAGGTTCCCCGAGAGTGGGAGTGAACTACAGAGCTGGAACGGGACTGAGGCTCAGAACCCTCCAGTTGTGAGAATCCTGATCCTTTCTAGGTTACCTACATGTACATAGCATCCATCTCTCCCCCTGTTCAGAGAGCCCAGAGGTTTTCTCATGCATACTCTGTTTTGATACATGCAGCTCTGGTTGGGAAGAGCTTAAGGCCTTTATGGATTCTTTTACACATTAATCTTGATGTCTCTTTCTCCATCCTGATCTCCTGCAGAGGGACTCACAGGCAGGAACACTGTGCAGGGTCTGCAGGCTGCCACATTCAGGTCCTGGGAACTTAGGCAAGGGGCTGACTATCCCAAGGCTCAGGTTTTGTAGCAAGGAAAGGAACATGCCAGGTGGCTGGGCTAAGGAGGAGAGGTGAGAGGTCAAGTGTTTTAGCATTTCATCCTTTGGGGGGTTGAATAATATTCCACTGTAGCATTTTTTTCACTTGTTAATAGATGTCTGGATTGTTTATGTGTTTTGGATATTGTGGTTAGTGCTGCTGTGACCGTACCTCTGTGAGTTACTGTTTGAACACCTATTTTCAATTCTCTTGGGTATGCACCCAAGTGTGAAATTGCTGGATCACTTGGTGGGTCTGTTTTTGTGGTATTGATGAATCACAGTGACAAAATAATGTATTTTGCATTTCTCACTGGTAATC